GAATTTTTGCCTTGCGTTGGTGCATTTCAACTAATTTGCTATTATTATTGTTACTTCCTGAAAAACAAAAAAATACAAAATGCCTCAAGCTAGTTGTGATTTTCTGCTCGGATCCGAATTCATTCAGCTGATTATTTACTTCCCCGAGTCATTTATTTGCCTTGACTTGTGGTTATAAAAAAAAAGTGTATTTTTTTTTTAAATAAACTACTTCTTCCTCAAATTGCAAAAAAAAAAAAAAAAAAAAAATGATTAAACAAATGAAAATGTTTTTGAAACTTGCTTGCATTTTTTTGAACAGCTTAGTTGCTCCTGCAAAAGTTATGAACAATTATTATGGTTCAAGGTGACTTTATTGTCATTCGCATCACATGTGATACATGAGGTGGAACAAAATTGTGTACTCAAGATCCCAGTTAACAGAAAAATATAAAGTATACAAATTAAACAGTATACAAGGATATAAGATATAGGCTAAACAATAATGAAATATAATACGATATATAAAGGTTTTTTTTAAAGAAAGCTGAAAGCTATCCTGTTCTTTTAAGAAAGAAAGCATTAAGAATAAGATGTATAATAAGGTGTATTATCTTGCCTTTTGTGGATAGCTATTTGAACAACCTCGGATATGGAGCTTATTCTGACTGGATTGATGAGCTAACAGTTAGCCTGAATGTAGCCAACACCAAGATGAATAGAAACCTTAAAGCAATTCCAATCTCCAAAATTCCTCAACAGTTCATCGTTATTTCATGAACTACTTGTCGTGGAAAAAAAGAGATTCCCAAAACAATCAGGTGTAGGTGTCCATATTTATTTACAAAGCTTTGGAGAACAGCCAGCAATCACAGATGAATGCATTCACAAGAACAAACTTATGAAAGTGTTCACCTGTCTGAGGTTCTGACCCGTTCTGACTTCCTGAACTGAAAAGGTTAGTAGAACTCAGAAAGGGCCCGCCCTTCCCCCAGTGGACCGAACCCAGCAGCTGCACACCATAAAGCTGCTGGAGGTAAACATTTCTCAAGTATTCTTACAGGGAAAAATCCCTGTCTACCATAACATTCAGAAGTCTCTAAAATAATAAAAGATGGCCGCTCCACTCTCTTCTTACCGATAGCCACATCAAGAATGATTATAATACACCGTGCCACCTCTGGCAGCCACTATCCTGTTTGTTTAAGATGTTTCTCTACTTCAGCACACCTGATTTGAAGTGATGGATGATTCCCAGCGTTCTGCAGATCTTGAAAAGAGGAAATTCAGCCATTAAATCAGGTGTGTTAGAGCAGGGAAACAACTGAAAAATGCAAACCATTGAGGACAAGAACTGGTCACCACTGGCTTTATCAGTCATGTTTGTAAAAATGCTCTGAATATTGGAGATGGTATAGTGCAATTGTTTTTTTTGTTTTGTTTTGTTTTATGTTTTACAAGCATTTAAATCATACTGGTATGATTCTATTTTTTTTTAAGAAACGAGGAACCAAAAAAAAAAAAGTTTAAACCATTTATTTTTATTTTCATCAGTTAGAATACTGTATGTGGTTTCTGAATGGCAAAAAAAAAAAAATCAAGATCTTTAAGCACTGACAAGGATAAATCTTTTTGTTGACTTGTTAACCCATCCATCCATTATCTTTACCCACTTCTTCCTTTTTGGGTCATGGGGGTCACTGGTGCCCATATCCAGCAGTCACTGTGAGAGGTGGGGGACACCCTGGACAGGTTGTAAGCCCATCACAGGGACACATAGAGACAAACGAGACAAACAACCATTCATTCTCTCACTCACACCCAGGGACAATTGCCAATCAGTCTAACGTGCATGTTTTTGGTCTGTGAGAGGAAACCAGAGTACCCGGAGAAAACGCACGCATGCACGGAGAGAACATGCAAACTCCACCCAGAAAGGTCCCGTGCCAGGATTTGAACCAGCAACTTTCTTGCTGAGAAACAACACGTTTATCAGCTGATTCACTGTGCCGCCAACAGGCATATTCCTTATCTAATTTTAGTAGTTGTCGCTTGAAATGTCATCACGTCATCGTTATGCACTCCCCAGTGGATTCAAGGTTCACGGTTCTTTGTCATTCACATCACATGTGGTGCATGAGATGGAGCGAAAGTGTGTACTCAAGGTCAGTTACACGGTGTAACTTACACCCCAAAATAGAAAAATTTAAGAAGAAACAGTATATAAGGATCTAAAATATACACTAAGATGCACACTATTCAATGCAAGCTCTTGAAATATTAGTTTAATTTAGCTTCAAGAAGTCATTTAACACTTTTTTCCCCAATGGAAAACTGTTTTTTCATTCATTCAACCTTTATTTAGACAGGTTAATCCCAATGAGCCTTGGGGACTCATTTCCAAGAGAGACCTGAACAGAAAACCTTTGCTGAATGTAGAGGTTTGCATCCTGCTGGAAGCCATGAACACTGCCTTCAGGTCTCGAAACTCACAGGAGCTGAGAAGGACAAGGAAAGAGCTGGTTGCTGGTATTAAGAAGGCCAAGGCCACATGTGCACAGAGGATCGAGGGTCAATTCACCTCACAAGACCCACGAAGCATGTGGAGGGGCATTAAGTGTATAACAGATAATAAAGGCAGGAGTGAACAATGCCCCAAAGACCCATCACTGCCTGATGCTCTCAACAAGTTCTATACACGCTTCGAAGACCCGAACAGACCACCCAACACCAGACTCACCTCACCACCGGATGAAGCTCTTTTCAGCGTGACCTCAGCAGAAGTAAGGAGTACTTTAAGGAGGATTAGATCTCACAAAGCAAACGGCCCAGACAAAATCCCCAGGAAGGTGCTAAAATAATGTGCCAATCAACTCTGTGAGGTGCTGGCAGACATCTTTAACACCTCACTTACCCTGGAGACAGTTCCCACCTGCCTGAAGGCCACCACCATCATCCCAGTCTCAAAGAGCTCTACAGTGACTGGTCTGAATGACTATCGGCCAGTGGCCCTCACCCCGATAGTCGCTAAATGCTTTGAAAAACTGGTCATGACTCACATCAAAACAACCATCAAATTCAATGAGAACCTTCACCAGTACGCATACCACAAGAACCAATCAACAGAGGATGCCATCTCCTCTGTGGTTCACACTGCTCTCACTCACCTGAAGCAAAAGGACTACTACGTCCATATGCTCTTTGTGGACTTCACATCTGCCTTCAACACCTTGACCCTCCAAACCCTGATGGACAAACTATCCACACTAGGACTAAGCCCCTCCATTTGCAACTGGGTACTAGACTTTTTAACAAACAGACCACAGTTAGTGAGGATCCACAACTTCTCCTCCTCCACCATAACCCTCAGCACTGGCTCTCCTCAGGGATGTGTGTTGAGCCCCCTCCTGTTTACTCTGCTCACGTATGATTGTGCAGCTACCCATCCAGGCTGTCACATTTTAACGTCTGCAGATGATACAGCTGTGGTGGAATGTATCACAAACAAGGATGAGTCCAGCTACAAGCAGGAGGTGGAACACCTGGAGAGCTGGTGCAAAGAGAATAACCTTCACATCAATGTGAAGAAGACAAAGGAGATGGCCATGGACTTCAGAAGGAACAAAAACACCTACACCGCCTTGTACATAAGAGGATCTGCGGTGGAAGTGGTCTCCAGCTACAAGTACTTGGGTGTACACCTGAATGACAACCTCAGCTGGGGCAACCACACCACCAGCCTGATCAAGAAAGTTCATCAGAGACTCTACTTCCTCAGGCGGCTGAGACGAGCTGATCTGGGAAGCTCAGTCCTCCTTCTACAGGTGTGCAGTGGAGAGCATCCTGTGCTCCAGCATCAATGTGTGGCATGGAGGCTGCACAGCTGCAGAAAGAAAAGCTTTGCAGAGAGTGGTGAAGGCTGCACAGAAGTCTGTTGGAGTCAGTCTCCCCACCATCACAGACATCTACACCTCTCTATGCAGGAAGAGGGCCACCTGCATCATGAAGGACCCCACTCACCCAGCGCACAATTTTTGCCCCGCTCCCCTCAGGAAGGAGGTTGAGGAGCATTAAGTGTAGAACCACTAGACTGAGGAACAGCTTCTACGCTGAGGCTGTTAGACTCATGAATCTCTAACCAGAATAATAACTGTGAAAAACCACATCATGTTGCTGCTGATCTGTTTCATGTTGCTGCTGATCTGTTTCATGTTGCTGTGTTTATGCGTGCTCATTTGCTCACACAGACTCATGTTTGTGCCGCTGTTCGACATATTGTTTTTGTTTTATGCTATTAGTGCTTAGTGTATATTTAGTTGATGTTTTTCTTAGTTCATATCTTAGATCTTATTACTGTTTTTCTTTTACATTTTATTGTTGGATGTAACTGAGACTCTGCGTACATAATCTCATTCCACTACATGTACCACATGAGATGTGAATGACAAATAAATCTCTCTGACTCTGATATCTTAATTTTCTGTTCAAAGTGGCACAGCATCAGAGTCAGAGTCAGAGATTCTTTATTGTCGTTTGCACCACTTGTGGTACATGTGGTGGAACGAAATTATGTACACAGGGTCCCAGTTACATCCAACAATAAAATGTAAAAGAAAAACAATGATAACATCTAAGATATGAACCAAGAAAAACATCAACTAAAAGTACACTAAGCACTAATAGCATAAAAACATTACGTCGAACAGCAGCACGAACATGAACATGAGTCTGTGTGAGCTGATGTGTGATGTGTAAAATGATGTGTAAATGTGTACATGTGATGTGTAAAAAAATGTAAGTGTAAAAAAGTGTTAAAAAAAGTCAAAAAGTCATACTTAAAGCAAAATAAAATTAACATAACAACCAGTAAATTAATTAATTTATTTATTTATTAACGTGTCCCTAATCCTCTTCCGTATTCAACCCATCTCCTCTCCAGAGTTTTAAAGTAACAGCGTAACACGTCATTTAGTTACGTCATTTCCTGTCTAGTAACGCTGCTGCGCATGCTCAGTGTAGCGCTACGGAAAAAAGAAAATGTCTCTAGTGAGGTGAGTCTCAACAAGGCCGTGTGTTTTCAGAAAACAACTAAACAAACAAATAAAAAGTTACTGGACGTGGTTGTAACTGTCATTTAATATATAAGCTGTTTAGAGGACTTCACATGGATTTTTATGGCTGCTTGCTACACGGTATTTAATCGAAACAAACGTCAACTAGATGCTAATATTGCGACAGCTAAACGGTTAGCATTAGCCAGCGTAGCAGTCGCGCTCACTTAACAAGTTATGTTATTGTATAGCTTATAGATATATATCGATATTTACTGTATAAATTCTTATATAGCTGTAATGGTAACTATAAACAGCGTTTCGAAGTTATGTTATTGTGATGCAGCCCATGTGAGTTATAGGCTATAGCATCTGAGCTCGTATTCAAAACAACAAGTCTTAAATCGCGTGTTTTTGTGTGTGAAGCTTTTTACCAGCGCCAACACAGCTGTCGCAGGACCAGCTGGAAGCAGAGGAGAGGCTTCGCGCCCAGAAGTCCTACTCCACCGCTCTGGTCTCGTCCCGCAGAGAGCCCCCGCCATATGGGCACAGGAAAGGCTGGGTGCCCCGCGCCCTGGAGGTAAATCAGACCGCAATGTCTGATCTACACCTTTTAGGAACTACTTTAACAGCGAGGGATCTGTTTGTGCAGGACTTTGGAGATGGAGGAGCTTTCCCAGAGATCCATGTGGCCCAGTTTCCTCTGGAGATGGGCAGGAAGAGGAAAACCTCCAATGCCTTGGCAGTGCAAGTAGATGCAGAAGGGAAAATCAAATATGATGCCATCGCCAGACAAGGACAGGGAAAGGATAAGGTTTGTCTGCAAGATGTTGCTATGATGGTCCGTAAAGATGCCATAAACTTGATCTGTAATAGTTTGTTTTGACATTGTTAGAAAACATAAATTTTACGTTGTATAACAATTTACATAGTTCAAAATACCAAAACATGAATTACTTTCTTAATTATATAATGTTTTCAGGCAAATGAAATAAAAGTGAAATTATTTAAGCAATTGCATTACAGAGGCTGCTCTGATTGACAGTGTCAAAAGGTTTGGATTTAGCTGTTACATTAATCCTTAGTTTATTGTTTGGTATGATTGGAAGTACAAGCAGTGGTTTTTCTGCGGTTTAATAATTGTTTCCAAACATGTCTTGTCTTTTTTTAAACACAGGTGATCTTTAGCAAGTACACTGACCTGCTTCCAAAGGAGGTTCTTAATCAAGATGCTCAAGAACTGCAGAGGCCTGACGAGGAGTCCGTACAAGAGGTAGAATGTTGTGCAGCAGTCAAGTGTTTCATGAGTTGGAGTTCAGATTTCTTTCAAATCAAGTTATTCACAGGAGTTGATGTTAAACTCTTGTGAGAGAACATTAAGTCCATTGTTTAATTTGCTAATGCATTAACCCTGACAGTACTGAATGATCAAAATCAATCTTTACTAAATCAAGAAACAAATCAGTTCTGACTGATGCTCTACAAAAATATTGTCATGGCATATTTACATATTTTAAGTAATCTAAATAGCCATTACAATAAAATAAGTGGTTGTGTTTTATTGCTTCACATTATTTATCAGGATCAGCTGTTCATGGTGGTGGTTTTTGTGTTTTTGTAGCTGACAGAGAAAACGCGTGCTGCCCTAAGCAAGCAGGTGTCTCAGAAGATTGCTGCTGCCATGCCTGTTCGAGCTGCAGACAAACAAGCTCCTGCACAGTACATCAGGTATGGATTAGAGCTGAAGCATTATCAGCAGAAAACTGATTTTGGTAATCTCCTAACTGGGCTTGCAGTGGGTGACGAGAACAATTTGTTCACAGCTTCAGTAATACTCCGATATTTGACAGTTCAGAGGAAACGTTCTCATTATCTATCTCTAAAAGATTATTCCAGTGATGTACATCTGTCATTAACACTAAATGTGGTGTGTTGGTTAAGGCATCATTGTAAGGAGTGGTGCATTCTCTTGTCTTTTCATTGAATTACAATTTTTGGCATCACAATTCGATTCAGAAACAAGTTTTCAATTGAAATAGTCATAAATTTAGTTTAAATTATGTAATTGACAAGATGAGAAGATTAAACAACAATGTAAACAAATAGAACCTTTATTAAAAACAATACTTTTAGGTTCCTTACTGTATCTGATCTTTTTGCATCATTTCATATTTATAACAAATATAGGAGTGCATAAAATTCTGTAAATTAAATTACCAGTAAGCTTAGCTAAGCTGCCTGGATTTTTCTAAAAATAAAAATCTAGGAATAAATAATTCATCCATTCATTATCTTTACCCAGTTCTTCCTTTTCGGGTCACTGGTGCCCATATCCAGCCATCACTGTGCGAGAGGCGGGGGACAACACCCTGGACAGGTCTCCAGTCCATCACAGACAAATTATTCAAAATATATAAATACAAGCGTAAACAAAGACTTCATCTTGCCACAGTGCATTAACCTTTAACTCAAAATAAAATACAGACTTCAGTTATTTTTAACCATATTGCTTTAACATTTGTTATATTTTCAAAACTTAACCTAACATGAATTATGCAGACTTCAGTCTTAACCATATTATTCATATTTGGTAATTTTTTAGCCAAATTTCAAAACCTGTGCAAATCTGCAGAAAAACTCTTCTGAACTGTAATTTATAAACCATAAATTGTATCATTTAGAACTGGCTCCAGGAGATGGAGAGGGAAATCTTCACAGCCTTTGGGGAATTAGTTGGAAGTTTGTTGCTCCAGAGTTCGTTGATCTGCTGCTTTTCTTTTTTTTTAGCTTCCGTGCATCTGTCGTATTTCCAAAATACTCTATCGCAATTTTATTTTACACTTCTCGCAAACAACTGTGCTCTTGTCAAGCTCTGTCTTACCTGGAACATTGTAGAATCTGAAATGTGCCCTTACACTGACTTTTACGACGGAGCGGGTTGAATCATGCTGTCCTACCGCTCCATGCTAGCAGACCCTTCAGATAAAGGTAGCTGGCTAACTAGCTTGATCTACGGAAGCCTACAGTGCCAAATTCTACGGTGACGAGTGGACACGTAGTGCGATATTCAGTATGCTGGGGAGTAGGAACAGAATTTTTTTTAAAATCTTAAACGCATTTTAAAATCAATTTTTGTGTGTTTAGAATCAATTCAGAATCGCCAGAACTAGGAATCTAGATTCTTTAATTCATCAATTGTTTTCCGGCACCCCTAATTGGAAGCGTGATTATGTATTCATTTTACTTATCAACACATCTACTTTTGACTTTTAAGTCTTTATCGTGAAGACTTACAGTAAGTACGTAAGTTCACAATGTACTTGAATTGTGTCAGTAATACTCTGTGTGTGTCTTGGAGTGTACAGAGGCGCAATAGGAGATTAATGATTAAGCATTAACTGGATTTTGAGTCATAACCATGTTCAGAAAAATAACATAATTAAATGATCATTTAAATGATTAACGTTTATTTTTGCTGTCATCCTCACTACCAAGTATAAGGAAGACTCAAACCTGAATTATGTTCTTTTTTCTTGAAAACCTGCAGAATAAAGAGCATTTTCTCTCTTCCTCCCCCAACGTTTGAAAAACAAGATCAGTGAAAGTTAAAAGTGACACAAACTGGTGCTTCTTTTGCCCGAGTTTGTTTATGTAGTTGATGATTGACATAAATCCCTGATGATATATTTTTTCTTTCTCTCATAGATACACCCCGTCCCAGCAGGGAGTGGCTTTTAATTCTGGAGCCAAGCAGAGGGTGATCCGTATGGTGGAAATGCAGAAAGATCCCATGGAGCCTCCCCGTTTCAAGTAAGTTAACGTGCCTGAAAAACCACTTTATCTCATTCTGTGATCATTTAAAGTAAACATCAAGTAATGCTCAAATAAAGTCTAAATGTCAAGTGTTGTAAAGCTTAGATGAGTTTAAATGAAGTATAAAAAGACAGAACGTTTGGGGTTACTACTTGTTCAAATAAGTTCTATCTTTATTTTTCTTATAGATTATTCAGTGATGCTAACTAGAATTGTTTGCAAATTACATAAATTTTAAAAAAATTTAAAAAGCTATTGTGAATCAGTCATCAACAGTTAAAGAAAACTAGACATTCCTTGTGTCCCAGAAGCTGAAGGTGCAACAGAACCACCGTTCCCAGCTTGAGATTCATGTCCTGCCCTTACATGTAAATGAATGGGACATTGCCCAAGATAAAAAGAAATACACATCAGATACTTTTTTCCTGATATTGACATAGTTCTTACCCGCTGTATATTTATTTCATACCTAAAAGAACGGTCATGTGACACCAAGATTGTGTGGGGAAGTATGCAGGACATAAGTCCCCACACTGCTCGTGTGCAGATGCTGGTTCAAAAACTACAACATGGCAGCTCTGAGTCCTGCTGGCTTCAGTTTTATACAACAAGAGGAGGCAAAGATACTTTCTCCATCTTTTTTTTTTTTTGTCTATGGAACCAACTTGATGTAAAACTTAACAATGAAGTCATGTTTCTCCACTTCAGGAACTCTTTTAAGTATCTGCGTTAAGAAATCCTCTGAAGAAAGTTTGACTATGAATGTTGTGTTTCAGAATCAACAAGAAGATTCCCAGAGGGCCTCCATCACCTCCCGCCCCTGTTATGCACTCACCAAGCAGAAAGGTAGAGTTGGTTGAAATGTGAAAACTATTTTTGTTTTTTGTTTTTGTGTTTTAGATAAAAATAATGTTTTTGTTTGTAGATGACGGTCAAGGAGCAGCAAGAGTGGAAGATCCCTCCGTGCATTTCCAACTGGAAGAATGCAAAGGTAATGTTTCCAGAGTTTGCTGAAGCTCTCCTTTTCTCAAACACTTTGTAGTAATGGTTGCTGTGCAGCAGTTTTATTGTGTTAGTCTTTAATACACGATAATGGTTCATGTGCTTGATTCTCTGCAGGGGTACACCATCCCTCTGGACAAACGTTTAGCTGCTGATGGACGGGGTCTGCAAACAGTCCACATCAATGAAAACTTTGCGAAACTGGCCGAGGCGCTCTATATTGCAGACAGAAAGGTAACTTATGGTTTCTGTTTCCAGACGTTGAACATTTGAACTTTGCACTTTGTGCTTCTGTTTGACTGTTGTTGTGCGTTTAGGCCAGAGAGGCAGTGGAGATGCGAGCTCAGGTAGAAAAGAAGATGGCTCAGAAAGAGAAGGAGAAGAAGGAGGAGAAGCTCAGAGAGCTGGCTCAAATGGCTCGAGACCAACGAGCGGGGATTAGGAGCCACGGTGACAAAGGTGAGTCCTGCAGATTAAGACCCTGCGAGGACAGGTCATTGTTATACTTTCTTAATATTCACCGACGGTGAGGGTGAGTTTGTGGCAGATGTGATGCTTTCTCTGCCTGTAGAACAGGTTCTGTTGTCTGTGCTGTTGCCTGTTCTAAGTCAGGAGCATGAGCTGCATATGTGATGAAAGCATTTCTCACTCTGCGAGTGTTGACAGGATCAGTGAGTGTTGAAATGACGTGACTGACTCCCAGGCTCTTTAGAGAAAAACACCAGTATTGCACGTTTTGGGCTTCTTTTTGTTTTTATTCTCGTCTTTATCTTTATTCCCCTCATCATCTCTGATCTCATTTCACCTGCTTTGCACATGTACTCCAAATCCTCCTCCTCATGTCTTATTTCACTTGGACACCATTCTCCCACCTCTGATCCTCTCTCTCTCACGCAGCTGGTGGTGAGGACAGCGAGGCCAGGGAGCGTGACATGATCCGCACCGTCAGAAAGAAGGACCGACAGCACGACAAGAACATTTCCAGGGCTGCTCCCGATAAGAGGTGATGGGCACACACTTTAAATGCATTCACTTCTGTGCAAACACGCACGGCTCACTGTTGAATCATTTATGGGAGCAGCAGCAACACTGAACAAAAACAGCAGGATCCTGCAGAGCACTCAAGCAGGTCTTTGTCTGCAGGTGTCTGCTGGCTTTGTATGCCAGGTACATGATCAGTGTGTGCTTGTGGGTTTCTGTGCACTGTCAGCTTGTCTGGTGAGGTGTCGTGAGTCCCCGGACAAAAGTAGAAAGTGAAAGTCACAGGAGAGCTCATTACAGTCTCAGTTTTAGCTGTCGGAGAGGTGCAGACCTTTTTATCTGAAAATTACCTTTCACTTTACTTTGAGATGGCTGTTCGCTTAAGGACTATCAGCAATTTAAAATCACCAGCTACACACACATGGTTTTAGCTAGGAAAGATAGAATCACATAGCAATGTTCATTCATGTTTTTTATTTTGTATAAAAAAAACAATTCAGTTTGGTTTGGTGGTAACTGAGAGTCATCCTCTGAATGCAAACAGGTCAGAGGCCATGTTTAAATGTAAGGCAGGTTCAGGGTTGGTTTATTTGTCATTTAATGGTAAGAACCGTCTCGACTCGCCCAAGAAAAAAACAACAGCAAATATCAGAGCATGCAACAAAAATACAGAAACAAGGTGTCAAAAGTGGAAAAGAAATAAGTCTAGAGCCGCGTGGTCCTACTGGCAGAGTGGTTCTGATGACAGTGAGGTGATCTTAGCAACATGTCCTCCAGGACCGAGTCTGGCAGACGGAGAACATCCAGGGTTTCCCCGCAGAACCAAACGGGTCCATAGAGTTGGGTCCTTGCAGGCAGTTAGAGGATCCTGTTAGCATCGTTAGCAGGTCGCGTCAGCAGCTTGATGATATCAATGACCGCAGCAGCTGCTCTTCCAGACTGTCCTCCAGAACTGGGTCCGGGAGACGGAGAACATCCAAGATTTTTCCGCGGAACCGAACGGGTCCGTAGAGTTCGGTCCGTGCAGGCAGATGGAGGATCATGGAGACGGCCACCATGACTGGCTGGAGCATGAGGCTGCAGGGGGGCCGGGAACTGAACTAGGATGGCAAGGCAGCGACACACACAACTCCACGTGCGTGTTGCAGTAATACCCGTACCGTGGGTGTACAGTGTAGGCGCAAAAAAAAAGTTAAAAACAACGGGAACAAAAAGAGATGGAGTCTAAGCGGAGCTCCCATCAGTGCTGCCGTTCTGCGGCGTTCATGACGTCAGAGTCCGGCAGCAGGTGATCTGGATGCTAGTTTTATTTTCAGCATAAAATAAAAGCTGGGGTTACAAATTTCATGGACTTTTTAAAGTCGGCACTTCCCACAGGAATTTATTTTATTTCTGTTAATTCCCATAAACAGGAATATATAATAAAATATTGAAGGTTGGCCTTTAACAGTGGTTTTAAATATAGTTGGTGGAAAATATATTTGAGCATAATCTTGATGTAAAAACAACCAGGTTTGGTGCACGTGCGCCGGAGAATTTCTATTATTTTTCAGTCACGTGCACGTAGCGCCCTGCTTCCTGTGGAGGTGTTGAGGGCACGCCCCCTACATGCGCTGTGCTTCATCAGGTGCACTGATAATTTCTAAAATCCTGGACTTTTGAGGTTTTTTATGTAGTAATAAAACTCCACATTTGAGCCCATGGACTACACAAAGAGAAGTATGATTTGATATCATTGGGTGAATTTATAGAATGTATGATATTAACACAGAACTGACCACTGTGTTGTCTGAATAATAAAAAGGCTTTTAAAATACCCACCACCCATCAATGGCATGTCTGATAATATCCAAACATTTGTGTACAGTTTAGGACATTCTCAAACTTTCTCATGAAAAGTCTGTAAATGTTATGATGCAATGCAACCCTACCTACTGAGCAGATTCATTGTTGGTTGAGAAGTGTACCAGCGTAAGTTATCAAAATTAATTACTAAAAAACAGAATTCGTACCAAATCTCTTGCTTGAGTTGAGTTACTTTCTTTTATTTCATACCAAGTCTGTGTGTTTTACTATAATCTAACCTCGTTTCTCTGTTTATTTTTGTCCCAGGTCAAAGTTACAAAGGGATCAGGACAGAGACATCAGTGAGCTCATTGCTTTGGGCAAACCCAACCCTCGTACCACCAGCGAAGCTCAGTACGACCAGCGGCTCTTCAATCAGAGCAAGGTTCGAACGTCCACACACCGGCCTTTCTATATCCTAATCCAAGCAGCAATGATTTGTCATCTTCTGAGTAAAGAAAATCTCAGTAATTGTTAAATCCTTGACGTTTTTGCTTAATAAACATATTTGAGTGCAGATCAGACATGATGAAGAGCTTTTCATGCACTTCTTCTTGTGAAACTAAACCAAACCAACCTTGGCAGCTGTTCCCCTTTAATGTCCGTTTCTTTTTTAGGGAATGGACAGTGGTTTTGCTGGTGGTGAAGATGACACATACAATGTGTACGATAAGCCATTCAACAGTGGCAGAGACATGGCCTCCAACATCTACAGGCCCAGCAAGAACATAGACAAAGATGCCTACTCAGATGACTTTGACTCACTTATGAAGAACAACAGGTGATGTGGATTGTTTACTTTTGCTAAAGCTGAGTAACAACTCATTGGGACATTTCTGTTAGCATGTCTGCTTTCTTCATTTGATCTCCTAACAAAGACAAGTGGGAGTTTTTCATCCATCCGTTTTGCTTGTTCAGAGGTTGGAAGGGGGGGGGGGGGGGGGCAGCAGCAGCTTGAGCAGGGAGGTCCAGACGTCTCTTTCCACAACCACCTCTTCCAGCTCTTCTGGGAGAACTCCAAAGTGTTCCCAGGCCATCAAAGAGATGTAGTCTCTCCAGCGTGTCCTGGGTCTTCCCCGGGGTCTCTTCTCAGTTGGACATGCCCGAATCACCTTCCTAGGGTGGCGCCCAGGGAGCGTCCTTACCAGATGCCTGAACCACCTCAACTGGCTCCTCTCGATGAGGAGGAGCTGCAATTCTACTCTGATCCGCTCCTGGTTTATCCTCCCTAACTCTGAGGGAGAGTCAACCACTCTGGAGAAAACTTGATTTCACCACCTGTATCTGTGGTGTCTTTCTTTTGGTCACCACCCCGAGTTTTTGACCACTGGTGAGGGTAGGAACGTGGAATGTAGACCGACCGGTAAACTGAGAGCTTTGCCTTGTCCATGCCTTGTTAGGAGGTGCAGGTAAACGTCACTTAAACAGCAAATGCCAATTGTCCACCTCCCATCTGTTTTCAGGTTTGCTCCTGACAAAGAGTTCTCTGGTGCCGAGCACGGGCAGAAGAGAGATGGACCGGTCCAGTTCGAGGAGGATCCCTTCGGTCTGGACAAGTTCTTGGAGCAGGCCAAGCAGCACGGCGGCTCCAAGAGGCCGTCCACCAGCACCCGCTCCAAAGACGACTACCACGACAAGAAACGCAGGAAGGAGTGAGACGAGCTCCGAGCAGAATCAGTTTGTGACGGCGTTTTCAAGAAGAGTGTCTCAACTGTTCAATATGGGTCTGTCTTCAAACAGAAAGGAAAAAGGTCTTTTTCTTGTGGCTCTTGAATCTGCGTAGAACATTTCTGTAATAAAGGCAAGTTAAATATGAAACAAATTGGTCAAAATAACTGAAGCTATCCTGTATTTTTATCCTCTACACGTATGTTCTAGTAGATTTTTGTACATATATTAAAGAACCCCAACAAGAACAGTTGCTGGTAAATATTTGCTATTTTATTTCTCTTTTTTTGTTGTTCTTTTTAGCTTGTATTTAAGCCTCTGGTGTATTTGTTAACAGTCCCGCACATTTATATATAATTTGGAGGAAGTTGATCAAACAAGCTTTATTTGTTGCTCCTGACTAAATAAATTTCATAATGTTTAAATTTGATTTTTGTGTAAAAACCAGTTTATTTGTAAATCCTTTCATTTGACACGCACTCATTCCAAGTGGAGTTCATTCCAAACTTTTCTAGCACAATGGAAAGCTCATTAGTGTGTAGTAATTATAATCTTCGTAAATTCCCATCATTTAAATCTTTTCCTGAGTAATGCGGCCCATTAACAGACGATTAAATGCCTGACATGCATTCAGAGAAGTCATCAATTTTAGTGGGAGGAGTTGCTTTTTGGGGTTTTTTTGTTTGCTTTTTATTAAAGAGAAATGGCCTCCGAGATTTATGTCACGATTAGACCAAGGCTGGTTCCATTAATTACAATTAATAGCGATTTATTGCAGCCCGACACTTTTATTTTCCCCCACGCTTGGAAAGTAATCATCGCAGCATTATGCAGCCCAGAGAATCTGAGCCAAGTCATCTTTCAGTCGAGCCTCAGTAGAGTTCAGACACTTGTTATACGTTCAGGATTTACGTGTTCGTTCTGCGCTCAGCTGCAGCCTTTTATTAACCAACGTCTGAAAGATTACAGCCTCAAACTTTGTCAGCTCGAGAGGTCTGGCATGTGAGGCTGCAGCTGCACCCGGTGTGTCGATGTGATGAGTTCAGGGGCAGTGCTGCGTTCAGTGGCACACATTTAGTGAAAGTACAATATGATGAGCTTTAATCAACCACAACTTTTAAAAACTGACAAACTGTGAGGTTCATCATTGGAGTACAGTCCACTTGTGTTGGGATACCTTGTTTTAGCATCATCAGCAGTAAATGTGCGCCCTTACAGTGATTTAAAACTTGTTTGGGGTCTCACCAGATCTTAAAATGCACTAAGTTCAAAAGAAAAATTTTGTTAATCAATGAACATCCATTGATAACTTTTAACAATATAAAGTTTAATTAATCTCAGCAGCAGTCACACATACAAAATTTGTACGCAAACAAGAAGATCCACAAGTGCAGCACAAGGTTTACACATGCATAAAGTTTTTCAGAATACACAATACAAATAGTGCAAGTAGGAGTATGCTGCACATTCAAGTTGTCGAATACATGTGCACAAATCACCTGCTGTGCACGGATCAACTTTGTGACTTTTGAGACTTATAAAGTCAATTTAAAAAAACTGTTTAAAAGAGGAGCTATGAAACTGTCTGGCGGTGCCCAATTCTACACATTATAACGGGACAATAGGAAAAAGACATATTTCCAACTTGAGGCAGTTCATAACCTATATATTATAACATATACATAACATTTATGGACTCCAAAAATAAAATAACCTAAAATGAGTAGATTGTTCTTTATGTGGGATATTACCAGGATTTTTTTTTTTTTCAAAATTAACATTTTCCATCTGTGGGAAAACTACCAGAAAAATATGATTTCTGTGTAACCATAGTAACCTGATGCAGGTCGATCTGGACAGATTTTTTTTAATTGTTGAAATGTGTCTTTTGTCCAAAAGACTTCTTTAGTCTGAGGAGCTGCAGTAAACTCAGTCTTATAAATATCACCGTCTCATAGTGGATCAACCAGTTTGTTGTTGACGTTCAGCTGTTCACGACTGAGCCATCAGCCCAACGATTGGTCGTTAGTGCTCTGATGGCCGCTTGCTATTCACAGAGGGCTGAGTGATGCTAGCAACAACACCGAAAGACGAAACGTTTCAACTATTTATTTTAATTATTTTAATCCGTCCAGAGGACCCGACTTTGTTAGATCATTTCTGTTTTTGTTTTTGGGTGGGCCGTACTTTTGAAATAAACTGCGCAAAACTGATGTTATTCTTTTTTGTGGGGAAACAAAAACTACAGGAAAAACATATTTTCCCCACATGAAGAATAATCTACTTATTTTATTGTTATTTTCACAAAATAGTTGAAATCCGGTATCGAACGCCATATTGTAAGAGCGCGTGTTATGAAATAGGGATTATGAGCCACTGTGCCAAGTTATAAATGTCTTTTCATAAAAACTCTGCAAGTCTGGCTCAGATGTTTCATGTTGTTTTGCACTAATGGTGTATTTGAGGTGAGTCTCCACCACAACCACACCAAACTTTAGCCTAATATCGGTCACACTGGCAGAATTCTATCATTTTTGTGTTTTTCTAGGTGGCTCTAACAGCCATTTTGGACTGCATTTAATTAAACTTTCCATGAAAAAGGAGATTTATTTGCTAGCGAACACCCAAATACAGACTATATTGCCCATCTTTTGGCAATAAAAATAAACATTTTTGCAACAAAACAGACAAAATAAAATTGATCGCCAACACAATCCACTCACGATTTCCAATTTAGCAGGTTTCCTATCTCCAAACCACAGAGGACGCTCCTCCGTCAGGCAGAGTTTGTGTTGGGCCTGTTGCCGAAGCCGCTGAAGACAGCTTGATAATGGGTCTCCACTCAGCTCGTCTGCTCGTATAAATGTGCGCAGCCCAAGATGAATGAGGCTCTTTATTCGTGGAAGTAAAGGGAAATAGATTGTTTGGCATCGCCTTTGTGAGCTGAAACGGCGAGCGTTTTCTCCAACCCATAATGGAATCCTCAGGTCGCTGCCATGATGGGCAGCTCCTTATCTCCTTCACCAGGAAACAAATCCACAAGTATGAAGCCGTGTTGAGCTGCCGCAGCACATCTTTCCCCTCGCTGGACCTGAAGGAGGTTATGATATTTTGTTTTGTGGAGCCTTTTGTGATCTGCTCTCTAAAGGCAGCAGGGTGTTTGATTTCCAAACTAACCATAAAGAAGTTCCTTCTCAACTCGATCTTTGTGCCTTCAAACATCTAAACCTGCGTTTTTAGGAGAGGCACTCTTTTTGTTCACATTAATTAAATTCAACCAGATTTATGGCCATTTTACTAAGGTTACTTAACGGTGGCGGCCATCATGAATGAGGTTGACGCCACAAGTTAATGCCAAAGATTACTTCCTGAAAGTTTAATTTATATCCATGCACTGGTTCTTGGGGAGTTTTCCACATTATGACAGCCAAATGAACACATGCAGAGAAAATGTACTTGAGTTACAGGAAATACTTTCACTGTTGTGCTGACCGCATCAAATGATGGGATGATATTGTGTCACTGAAGCTTGTCAGATTATTATAGTTAAAAAACATTATAGAGTGGCCCACATTGTTCTTCAGCTGAAGGCACTTTACCCAAAACATTTTCTTCACATCACATCCTGCAGACTCTGCTTGGACCTGCACTGTCTTCATTCTCATTCAGTGTGTTTTGTGTGTTTGTGTGGATACAAAATGCGAAGCCACAGTGTGTGGACTGAATCCATCAAAGCTGCACCCGCCCCTCACAGCCCACACCTGAGCAGCCCGTCCTCCTGCTGTCACTCAATCACTCTTATCATTAGCTCCTCTCCCATGCATGTGCAGACCGGAACTCGTTCATCATTATTCCAGCAGACTTGAGCTGGACAGAGTCTACTGCTCTCTGTGAAATAGTCTGCCTGTCAGTCACTCTGTCTGTCTGTCATGCCTGCCCGAGCTGAAAACCTGGGGAGAGAGGACTCTGTCTTTTTCTGAGAGGCTTCCCGTGTGGATAATGTTTCACAGAGGGGATATTTGGGCATGTGGAACAGTCTCGCCATCGGAAATTTCTTTGTTAGAATCAGGAATTTTAAAGGATTTTTGACTGATGTCTTTTTTTTTTATTTACACACACAAAACCTACCACTTTGAAGATGCAAAGTATTTTTATTTTTTATCATTAAACACAAAAATTGACCTGAAAAGTCTGAGCATGCACCATGCAAACTGTCTGATCCACCATGTGGATGTGCTGCCCGCCGGACCCAGCCTGCCATGGCTCCCTGGATTTACGAAGTCCCATGGATGAAGGACGAAACGTCTCAACAACAACAACAAAAAAAAGAAATCGTCCAGATGACCTGACTGAACTTTGTTAGATTTTTTTACCTGCATTAATGAACATGAACTTTGATGTTTTGAACCACATTGGCTATGGCTGCCTCAGAGGAGTCGACAGGGGGGAGAGAGTGGGCCCCAGAAACTATCTTATCACCATCAAACTGGTCAGTGTTGCCAGATTGGGCGGTTTTCACTCTGATTTTGCAAGTAAAAACTGCTTTGAGCGGGTGGGGATAATTTGGGCGGATTTGGAGTCAGGGGTGGGGGGTATTGTGTGTGTGTTCTAACAGTAAATATAACAATATTGGACTGGTATAAGATTGGGCGGGTTTTTGTGTGATGGGGTGGTTTAACAGACTTTTGGGCTGGAAAACCTCAGCTCTATCTGGCAACACTGAAACTGGTTGGCCCACTGTGTGCTGCTTGTGGGATTCAGTTTGTTTTGGCTCCTTAGAAGTCCTTTGGATGAAGGACGAAATGTCTCAACAAAAATTAAAAAAGAAAACGTCCAGATGACCTGACCACACCCTCCTCCCCAAAACTCAAAACATAGAACCACCCTTTGCAGTCCGTTTAGGTGTAGCTTTTAAAAAAAGCTAAACAGCGTCTCCACCTTCTATATAAGCTAATGAGCTTTAATGCTAGCAAAAATACTTTGCACTGGGTGTACAGGTCACTGGTTGGAAGTGTTGTTACCTTGAACATTGTCTCATGGTATGGGAACCTCCTAGGCAGAGACAGGAACAAGTGGTGGTCAAACAAGGTAGTAAAATAATTGGTCATCAACAAATTAAACTTACAGATCTGTACAGTCAGGTTCTGAAAAAAAAAAAAAAAAAAAAGTAATACAGGTTTACCATGACTCAACTCATCCACTGCAACCATTATTCAGGTTGGTACGATCTGGCAGAAGACTGGTG